CACAAACCCAGACATACATTCTTGTCTTGGATTTAACTGGTATGCTAATGTCTCATATGCACTCTTTTGGCTGAGTGAAAGTCATGATCCTACTAGCAGGTGCAGGTGTAGAGCCACAAGTGACTTTGATTAACTTGATATTATTGGGAAATTATCACAGCAGTGGCTGAAGTGATAATTGTTTGCATTTTATGAACAGTTTTAATTGCATGCATAGGAGGCACAGGCATCTTTTGAGTCTGTGCTTTCTATGTTTAATGTATATTACTGTATGTATCTTACCTTTTTGTCATTTGCAGTTATTCAAACCATCACCCACCTCTCCATTCCCCAGCCTACTCCCTTGTGTTTTGCTCACTTTTACAATACCCTGGAAGACACAGTAGGCAGATGCTTTCGGGCTGTGCAATACAAAATACCTTGAGGATCCTACATATTGCTTTGAAATTTTCCCAAGTCTCAAGGATGCTTAGAATTTGCCAATCTGGTTTTGCAGATAGGCTTTAAAACTCACGAGGCAAAAACAACACCTTTTTGTGGGAAAAGGCTGATCTCTCAAGAATGCCTGAGAAAACATGAGTTTTGTTTTTTGAAGACTTATTTCAATTCAGAAAGATTTTACTGCAAGCTGTGAAATTGCAGTTCAAACCTCCTGAAAATGAATCCCGTTTGGTTCAAAATACGAAATAGTGTATGTGATTGGCAAACTTCAAAATTAGACTTCATTAATTTTAATCCATCTATTTTCAGTGATCTTTAACCTTAGATGGTTGCAGGCACAGGTCAGGGCGCAAAGCAAGTTTGTACACCGGTCTGTGGAGGGGCATATACACATACTGTATGCTTTCCCTCACATGCATGTATAGTGGGAAATTTAGAGATGCTATTTAACCTGGACAGCCCATCTTTGGACAAGGGATGGAAATTGGAGTACATAGAAGAGGCCACACAAGCAGAGGGGGAACATGCAAACTCCACATCAGCAGGGCCAAATTTGAATCGTTCATGTTATTTGTAAATATATTTATACCTTTCAGTGAATGTTTTGGCAGATCACTAAATGTTAGAAAATTGTAAGATATAGCATAGCAAACAGCTGTGAATTATGAAAAATACATTAAACACCCAAACATAAACAAATTGCTATAGTGCAAGAAGAGAATTTTCAGTAACACATGATCATGCCATGATAATTCCTAAATGTAAAAATCTGAAATACATATTCAGCTGTATATCTTTTCTAATTCTTCGCAAACTTGCTCTCATACTGACGTCACTCTCTTGTTGTATTGTAGCAGAAGATATAACAGATGTTTTTATAGCCAAAGGGAAGGATAATTTCATAAAGGTAGTGTAGAGATAATGTATTTTTAAATTATTAGTATTATATAATAATGTACAGAAGTGCTTGATGTTAATATCTCTTCAGAGAATCATGCAGATACCGTATTGTGAGGTGTATAATAACAGAGCTTCCCAGACAATTGGGCTGCAGATTATAGATGGAAATTGCTTATCTTTTTACAGCACACTGCCAGTAAACATTCACCCCCCTCCAGATATTGATAAAGCCAAGTCAGTTTATTACAAAACCCAGAGCTTGGAGATGTGCATTGAATTTCTCCCCAAATTACAGGTTGCAGGGCATATGCACCAACACTGCCTAGTAATCACAGTTCTACAAACTCACCCCTTCTCTGCCATCTGGCAGACACTTTTGTTACAGGAAACATCAGGGCTTTAGGCCTAGGTGTCAGCCTTGTAGGATCTTGCTTTCTTTTGCCTAATAAGGATTTACAACAGAAAGAATAACATACTAAAGAAAAGGAAAGCTGTCAAAACAAGTCTGAGTGCAAAATCCTAATTGTTATTTATGTTTGTTAATATAACAAAAGGAACATGCATTTGCCTGATAATTCTGTCTCACAAATAAAACAAGGCTCCAAAATATGTTTGCTCAGTGTGGATGCTTAAAATCCTAATGAAATTGTATTTTATATATGCTTTTAAAATAACATAAGTGTAAATCATGAGACATCTTTAGCTTTGAATATTTCATTCAAACAAAGTCCACATGGACACAGGGAGACTCCACACAGAAGGCACTTGCATCCAGCATCTAATGCAGAACGCAAGAGTGAGGCAGCCATTGTCAGCAGCTTTGCTGTCATTGTGCCCTGTTTCATCTCCAGGCACACCAAATACAATCTTAACACATGTCAGTGCAGACATCCTGACTGAAGCATTTGAATATCAAAGTTTTTAACAATCCCTAATTAAGTACGGTAAATACAGGTTGGTTTTCCTTACATCAAAACTGAGAGCTGAATGAAAAGAAACTGATGTGCTGCTACTGTAAGCATTATTAGATCTGGATTTTTTCTTGTGATCCACAGTTTAAAACAGGATTTAGTGACTTCAGATTGGCGTTTTCCCTTTTCTTGTCAATATTGTTATAAAATAAGTTAACTTATTCAAAAATTTAGTTAAATCTGAAAGTCAGAGCAAACATAATAAATATTATATCTGGTATTAGACTCTGAATCAAAAGGAAGTCAGTGTGCCAAGCAAAATATCCTTGCATGCCAACTGGGGGTGCTGAACAATTATGACTGGTTACTCATTTCCGTATTTAAAGGTTTCAATCAACATGGAAGGAATTAACATGGTTTTGCTTTTAATAAAAGAGCTTAATTATTATGGAGTCCCAACATCTAATTTGTATTTCTAGATATCTATCATGTTCAAAGTGCTAAGTAACTAATCGATCGATAAACTTATTTTGTGTGCTGCAAGATAAACTATAATTGAAGGAATTGCATTTTGTAGCATAACCGATACACTGTGCTCTAAAAAATAAAGCAAAATTTAATTTTTAATACTGTTTGCATTATGATGTTTAGTTAAATTACTTTTTAATGTCTTTGTGAACCCCCCTAAGTACTTAGTATATAATGCATTGTGTAATTTAGATTTTTATTGGTCTGGTTTGTTTATTCTTTGTTAAACACAAAACTGTATATGTACACCTATTCATTAGGTTAAGGTACTCATACAGTATTTAATAAATATCCCTTAGGTAAAGGCGTGCAAGTCATAAATTATTTAATTTTAATAGCAATCAAGGATGGAGGCCAAAATAAAAAATATTGGAAGTGGAAATAAAATTTATGAACACAAAGTTTTGTTCCCTAACCCTTAGTCTCTTTTTCAAAACCATTTTTGCCCTGTGTTCCACACAGCCCAAATGTGTGGTTGATTCCTTGTGTCCACAGATGCTACAGTGGGTATGAAGCATCAGAAAACATCAGTACAGGTACCAGTCCTTCTTATACGAGTGGAAGGCATTTTTTATAGCTAAAGAGGCTACACCATGATGACCAGTCTTTGAGATTGGCAGAGTGGAATAATGTTTATGTTTATTCATGTTCACTTGACACATTTAGACTTGCAGTATGGTATAATTTTATGTTTGAATGTAGTTTTGTTCCAGAATTTCCCTTTACCTTTAGAAGTTGATCGAGGTGGTTCTGCTAGGCACAAAGCTATACTACTGGACAGCCCTGCTTATACTTGTTAATCAATAGTTTGGCTGTCAGTATCTAATTGAATTGAAATGGAAGTGTTTGTTCTCATTTTTCCCCCTTTTTTGAAAAATCAATATCTCCCTATGCATTTTAATGACAGTACCTTTAATTCTGGCTTTAATAGGTATTTGAGATTTTAGGCACTTCAATGATACAATATTGGCCTCCTTCATACAGCTCCATAGAGAATTCAACATCCCAATGAGACTTATTCCTAGATTCTGAAAATAAGACATTTTATTAATTCTTTGCAAACCTCTTTGGAAAACTAGAGACTCTCAAGTGTAGAATTAGTAATGAAAAAGGTAGGCGGCTCTTTCAGAGCTGTGTCTAAACTGATGTACTGTTGCTGACAGAGGTGGCCTGATCTCTGCCTAACTGTTCTAATGATCTCTGTAGACAATGGTTAGAGGATGTGCAAGTGTAAAATAGCCTGGAAGAATAAGTTTATTCAACCTATGTATATAATTCTACAGTAGTTTAAAGTACTACACGGGTGATATTATACTTTTCACATACAGAAAACACACACCCGTTTATGACTTAGAGTATGTGAAAGATATCAGGTAGGAAGAGAATCCTTGCTGTGTGTCATGAGAGGAGATATCTGAAATTAGATCTTATTGAAAGATCTTTGATCTGTTTAATTTCATCTGGTTTTTGGATTAACCACTACAGCACTTCTCTGTTATGAATATTTGGTGATCTCAATATTGGAGACTTTTACCAGACAAAAATATTCAAATGTAGCGCTTATTTTAGCCAAGAGATGCAAATGTGTTTTGATGGTACAGAACTACAACTCCAACAACTACACAATGACTGAGTTATATTCCCCTAGGTCACATTTACTTCAATCTGCAACTCAAACCAGATCATTTTCACAAAGGTTGGGCCTCTCATGTGACCTGTTTTAACACAAGTAGAATTATTTAATAGACGGTGCCCACTTTCTGATTAAATCCCTTCTGTAAATACAGAATGTTTTTCATGTTAGAATATTTTTACCCCTGGCTCCTTGTTGTCCTCTTTGATAGGAGGGAATAGTTAGGGGGAGGATATGGTTTTATCCCCTGCTGTGCTCAGCCAAAACTTTACTGTTCTCAGTTGTTATCATATTGCAAGAACTTTGAAGCCTGTGATAAATAAACAACAATGCTGGAGAATAAAAATATAATGTGCAAAAAATATTTTGATGCATTACCAGAATCATCCATAATGGCTGAACTGAACGTACAGTACTTGCTGTATAATTTATTTACAATTTAGGTAAACAGCCTCCAGTTGAGGTTCACACCGGAAATTGTATGTGTAAAACAACCAGGGCATGTCTTTGCTATATTACTGCACAGATTGAAGTGCATTATTGTGGATTTAAAGTGCCGCTTTTCTTTTTTTTTTCTTTGCTTACAGGTCAAAGGAATTAATCAAGGAAGCAATTCTTGACAATGACTTTATGAAAAACCTTGAGTTATCTCAGATCCAGGAAATCGTGGACTGCATGTACCCAGTTGAATATGGAAAAGACAGCTGCATCATTAAAGAAGGCGATGTGGGGTCCCTGGTGTATGTCATGGAAGGTATGTTCATTTGCCTCACCATTCACTTCTTCCCAGGTGCTTAGATTTGAGATCATCACCAGTCTTGCAACTTAGTCTAAAGGTTAATAACAAGAGCACCTGACTTTTCTACCTCTCACTTGAAATCATGCGCTGCTTTAATAATAATAATGGGAACATATTGACTGAGGAACACATACTTGAAACTGTGGTAAGGCAGGTGTTTCTTGTACAAAAACCAAAATAATAGACATCAACAACACAAAATGCAGTTTTTTAAATGAGAGTGAAAATCAGTTTGGAGTGTTTACTATCATAATACTGTAGGTCTTCGTAATTTGCACAGACTTTCAATGAGATTTGGTTTTACTCTGAATTACATTTTCTTCAGAATTAACAATTAAGATAGATCCCTAAAATAACGTAACTTTGAGTTTAGTTTTTTTGAGCCAGTGCATTCTCTTTTGTTTGCAATACCTTAGTATTCTAGTGCTGAAAAGTTGCAAGATATACTGTATTAGCGTATCTTCAAATTCAGCGTATCTGAATACAGCGTAGCTGTAGTAACATAATTGTTGTTTATGTTATCAGTCATATCAGAGAAACATTTATTTTGTAGAAATCTTGATTAAAGTAAGTTTTTTTCATATACTACTAAAAACATTCTGTTAAGCTTTTGTTTTTGTTTAAAGGTGCACTTTTCAAGGCATTGAAAAATCTTTGTGGGAACTTGCTGTGTTGGCTCTTATTACAATTGGATTTGGTAAAGTAGCAATTGAGCATTTATAAATTTGTTTAATGAGTAATAGTTCCTGCAACAATCTGGAAAGTAAACAGATGGGCAATTTGGAGATTTTTTTTAAACAGAAGTCTCTTTCAAAGAAAAAGCTGTAATCAGGCTCTAGATGTATAACTGGGGACTTGTATGTAGGTCAAAAATGTTGCTATAATCTGGGCCTAAGTCAGGTATCAACGATTTGGTATTTAAAAGAGACCAGCTCAAAGGAAATGTTGCTATGCAATATTCTACATGAACCAGATCTTTTCTTTTCAATACCTTCCATTTCCAAAAAAAATATTTTTAAAAAGAGCTTGGGTTTCAAGTTTTGGGATAAGACTAAACTGTGGTAAAATATACTGCATTTCATAAAGCAAGATAAAAGGAAATGATCACTACATGTTTTGTTTAATAAGAAGTGGGTTACATGTATGAGCTATTTGTCACTTTTTGGACCCTTGAACGGTTGCTATGGGTGACAAACTTCCATCCATCCTTTTTTAACAGCTTTTTCCAAAACAGGGTAGCAGGGGAGCCAGAGCCTATCCTAGCAAACAACCGGTACAAGGCAGGGTACACCCTGGACGGGATGCCAGTCGCAGGGTACACACAGACACAAACACACACTCGCACCACGGTAAAACTTCCTTTTTGGAAATCTGATTCACTTGATTGATAGAACCAATTATCTGAGTACTGCTTCTTTAAAATAGCTGAACTCTGTACTTTTATCATTTTGGGTTGCTGAATATACACAGGCAGTGAGTCCTAATCACCTACTCTGTTCTGTTTATTTCTCAATTGAGCAGACCCGGGTAGTAAGCTATATATAGAATTTTAATTAAAGTTTTCAGTCCTTGTCCAATATCCAATGCAGACATGAGTTACTGAGTTGAGACAATTCATTTTTTATTGTTTATTGGGTATAGTTCTGCTCATACCGGACAAAAAAGGTGACATTCCTCTTTCCCACTCTGTGATTACTGCAATTGCAATGAGTCTTTAGAAAATAATGCTGAGTTGTTCATTTGTTTTGCTATTTCCTCATGTCTTCATTTTGCAAAGTACACACTGACCTGCAGCTGAGATTGCTTTAGAAAATGGACAGTGTGAATATAGTCTCTTTCATGGTCCATTTTCAGTGAATAAAATGCTTGCTATTTTCAGTTTTATGACTAGACACGTATTGGTAGCAGGACTTCATAAAACTATTTTTTTAAACGCTCCAGCAAATTAGCTTTCACAACATGGTTAGCTTGTTCTAAGTTAGTAACAATCTAACCATATCAACTAGCTTGTTAACCATACAGCAAGCTTGTTCTAAGCACCCACAACTGACATACTTTCTGACCTAAATACACTTGTCTTAAAGTAGTTCAGGTGGGTAGCTGTGTCAGCATGCGTAGGCTGCAAAGGAACAAGTAATACTGTAGGTTTATTCCATGCTGAAAAGAGAAGAAAGGAAACACAACATTTTCAGGTGTGAAGAAGGGTAATTTTAGGTAATACTACCTAAAAGTAGTGAGTAGTGAGTTAAACACAACAAGACTAATATGATGCAATTCTTTTCTAACCAGATGACATGACTATACAATAACAATGTACTGTAGACCTAACACACCATTCACCTTAACAGAAATTTTAGGTAGTATTATTCTTCACACCTGAAGAAGGCTCCACGGCTGAAATGTTGTGTTTTCTTTCTTCTCTTTTCAGCATGGAATAAACCTCTTGCTGTTCCTTGTCTTAAAGTAGCTGCCTAGACGTTTGAGAAACCTTTGTAATTCACCATCTTTGAGGATTCCCTTTTAGTTCAGGAAGTGCAATTATTTTTTATACTCTTTACCTCATAGCACTGTCTATTTTCTAGGCTTGTTTTAGACATTATGCCCATGCTTTAAAAAAAAATTGTTACCATTACATTTCTAGCTTTCTTTCTCGATGTTTTTGTTCCATTTGAGATATTTCATTTCGCTGTGCAATTAACAAGGCATGCAATGAATTCTATACATTTCTTCAACACTACAATCAATGCTCATACTCTTATTGCTGGCCTGCCTTGTGTCACCTTTTCTGGTGGCAGGACACTTCCTCTGTTATTTTCTGCTTGCCATTTAAGAAAGAGACTTGCATTGTTTTACTGATCTCCTCTGTGAACGTCTGTGAGCCAGCTGGAAAAATCAGCTCAAAAACCGTGAAAATGTATTGTTTCAGGGCTGTGTCTGTGTCTTGCATCTTAGTAGTTCCAAGGAAGTTTGAATGTCGTAGCTTTGTAATTTTCCAGGATATTAATGATTTTTAAATCAGAAAAGAAAGAGCAAACAAAGCTTTTGTGCTACTTGGTATCACCTTGTAATTGTATCCTGGCTGATTTTTGTATTATTTGGGGTCATCATGAAGCTGCACTCCCATTTCTGATTCCAGGTGGTCACGATGGCTATCATCTTTAAATAGGTGTGCGTGCAAGTGAGTAAATGCCTGCTTGGAACTCTGGGTAGATGCAATTCATGCACTTTTCTCAGTTCAAAGCCTGGAGTAATTTGATTGGTAATTTGAAAAGGATTGATTCTTTGTCCAGTATCTGTCACATCAGAATAAATTCACTTTGTAAGCCCCTGTGAAGTGCATTAATCATGACTGGAAAAGCTGGAGTTATAAATAGAAGACTTATAGGGAAACATAGACTTGATTTCACAAATATTGGATTTTCAAGATTAATTATACTTATAGGATGTATTGGTTTTAACACCAATATTTTACTTAAGATATTTAGCCTTTCACAGCTCAACACTAATTCTCCATGCAGTCTTTACTAGAACTCCTGGCAGTGTGATAGTTCATATCTATGCTCTGAGGGAAATTCACAATGTTTCTAAGAGGCCAGGCCACTCAAAGGCAATGCTCAAAAGATAAAGGTTTTACAAAAAAACAGGAAGACTAACTGTGGATGAACTGTGTTTATTCCACAATGTAATTTGCCCTTTGCAATTCTACTGCTTTATTAACCCTAACCCTAACCCTAACCCTAACCCTAAACCCCTAACCCTAAACCCCTAACCCTAA